GAAAGGGCAGTGACCATCTCAGGGACCCCCGATGCAATTATCCAGTGTGTCAAACAGATCTGTGTGGTGATGCTGGAGGTACAGTTTGTAACAATAGGGGTAATGTATAAAAGGAACATATGTAAATAACTGAAGAATTGATAGTTATTGGTTCTTGCCTACTCAAGCATTCAACCAATCTTGGGTTCAAAACAGCTCTGGATGGCTACATGAGAAAGTAATTCTGTGAAGATTTAGGGTAAAATAGTAGTTCAGGAAGACAGAGTGTGGAGGCTTGCAATACCTACTAGCCCATTTGGTTTATATTGTCATTAAATATACTTTAATTATAAAAGATGCAGTGAGATATGTTTTTGCAGATTTAATATGAAACAATTATATTCGCCAAAAGCCTAAAGAAACAGGAATGAAAAGAGGACTGCGTTAATAATATTATTTCTATTTTTCTAATTCATCAATTTCTTAGTATTATTTGTATTCTTCAACTCTCAAGGATATTTCTAGCATCAGACCAGTACATTTGTCTCCATTCTCTACTTTCAGATGAAAACTCTCTTGATTTTAAGCACTTTTATCCAAAAATAAAACAAACATTAATATCTGTTAGGTGATGTGCTGTGGAATTATCAACAGAATGTATTTGCTAGCATATGAAAATCTAGAAACAAAAATGGGCGTTGATAATATTGGATTAAGTGGGGGTTGTAGGTGCATTCACGTTTATGAAAAGATTTTGAAGAAATCAGTGCAAGGGCAGATTCCTGGTAGCTGAAGTTAATGAGCAATTCTAGCTGCAATAATAGCAAGGTGCTTAAACTTCACTGAAATCAAAAAAGGGGCTTTCCCATTGTATCCAAAAAAGCAAGTGCTTTATCTTTTTTTCATTGCAGATTTTCAAGGTAACATTTCATGAATATTTCAGCTAAGAAAGTACCTAGATCCTTCTCCAGCATGTAAATTTTTTCATGTAATTAAATAATCTTTCTATGTATGACTTAATTATGCTCCATTGGCTCCAGGCCAGGGTTCATTATTTCCAGAATTCTGTTTTACGTTTTTCTTCATGAATTTCACTGTATTGAACCTTACTGGTGAAATTAATGGTTGCTACACTTGGTATTGTTTTCTGATCCTGCTACAGTCTTAGACATGTCTTCTCAGAATATCCAAATATTGTGACTTGCATATGCAGCATCAGAAGTCACATTCATTCTAAATATTAGGAAGGAATTGAAAAATCAAACTATAACCATTGCATATGCAAGTTTTGAAAGAAAGTAAAAGTGATTCAAATTAATATGCAATACATGAGAATATAAATAAGGTTCACACAGTTAGATTTGACTGCCATGTGGAGGAACAAATGTTAATCCAACAATAAGTAACTTTAGCACAGGGATGTGCAATTCTTTATTGGCTTTTGAGTAGTAGTTAAAGGCAGCACTGCCCCCCAAAGTAGCAAATAAAGCCAGCATGGAAACTTAATTTGATTTTATTTCTAGGTAAATGTCATTAAATACACTTACTATAGTTACTTTCCAGTCATATATTTAGTCATTTTCTTCTTCTCCCTTATTTAAAAATTAGAATTGGGTAATAATTTTTGAAAGTCTCAGGAAGCCACATTCATGCCTTTTGGCTGCCACACCAGATTGGTGGCTCTTTGGGGAAAAATGAAGTGGGTGAGTGAGCTATATTACTAAATTATTTGCAATAGTTTTTAAAATGTATCTTGTGATTGTCCAAAAATACTAAAATAAAAGGGGCAGCTTCGTGGCAGCAGAAAAAAAATGGAAGACATAATTTGGACAAAGGCTCAGAGGAAGCTCTTGGAAGTGGTCTTCAGAGGGCTGGAAACCTTGCAACCCTACAGTCCCTCTGCTGCTGTCTTAAGCAGGTCATCAATGGAAAGGAGAGCCTTTAACTTGTGTCCAGCAATCCCAAGGCAAATGAACATCTGGCCACAATTAATGATCCACTAAATGATTCTACCTTTAGTTTCTGGTCTGGTAACAAAACCTTGCAGAGTTAACTTTATCAGTTCATATTCAGTATGGTTTGATTTGTACATGTTCGGTTGCCCTCTAACACTCTTTTTGCTACCGTTTCAGGAAATGTGGTCTAATGTTCTCTCTCCCTCTCCTTGTCCCTTTTCCTAGTCCCCACCAAAAGGTGCCACCATCCCCTATCGCCCAAAGCCTGCCTCCACCCCTGTCATTTTTGCAGGTGGTCAGGTAAGAGCCGACCCACTTGCAGCCTCCACTGCCAACCTCAGCCTTTTACTGCAGCACCAGCCGCTGCCTGTTAGTCCACTCAGGTTTTGTTGCCTTTTCACTTGCATGGTGTCATCCCATTCCCGTTACACCAGGACAAGTGGACTCAAAGCTCTTTGTTTGCAAAGTACTGTGGGTAGCAACTAAATAAGCAGTATGAATACCATCTGGTGTAACAAAAGGAAATAGGGGTCTCAATCACACAAGGCAGACTCTCCCCAGTCTTTGCTGAAATCACAAGACAACAAATATTATCAACTAAGATCTAGAACAATAGATATATGTAAGCTGATTTTACATAAATTCATCACCCATAAATATAGTTGGGAGTTGGCTGACCTTACAAAAAGGCAAGGATACTTTATAAAATATCATTTAGAAAGAATTCAAAGGTTGCAGTACATAGCAAATGGTCTGTCAACTTTTTCTAAGAAAATAATTGGGAGGAAATATCCACCAAATATGTCACATTATCTATTACACTATGACCTTTACACAGTATTTTAGTAAAATGCTGGCAAATAGAAGGAAAGTAATTCCTGTTTATCTTGTCCTAAAGTTTCATAAGCTTATGTTTATTTTTACATTCAGTATTACATAATTTATTTACCTGTCAGTATTCATGAAGCACGTGTAAAGTAAAAAGATACTTCAGGGAATCAGAGAACGTAAGATTTGGAAGAGATCTTGGAAATCATTTAGTGAAGTCCAAACTTCCAGTTCAGGAATCCACTATGTAAAGTGCTCCCACTTCTGTTCAAAGACCTCTGGTAAAGAAGCCCATCATCTACCAATTCAGTCACTTTCATTGTTGAACATTAGAAAATTCTTCCTGCTCTCCAACCTTGCCATTTAAACCTATTATTTCTTTTTCGATCTTCTGAAGTGCCTCCAAATCTGCACTCTCTTCCCAACAAAATGGCAACCCTTTTATCATGTCTTCCTACAGTTTTCTCTTCTGCAAGCTCAACCTACCAGTGCCTCCAACTGTTCCTTACTTCCAGGTCCTCAATCATCTCTGTTGTTCTTCTCAACACATGCTCAGGTTTGCCCATTTCTTTTCTGAAATGCAGTGACCTGAACTGAATGCAGTAATTATCAGAGAATAGAGAGGAAGAATTGTTTCTCTTGATTTAGATGCTACTTCTGCTGATGCAGTCAAGTACTATATTAACAATTTTGGCATCACATTGTTTTATGTCATGTGCCAACACACTTTTTTTTTTTGCCATACTGCTATCCAACTCCTGGTCCATGCCAGCAACTGGTCCGCACAAACAAGCAAAGCCCCATCTGTGGGATGCAGACAGCACACAAAACCATGCACCCTCTGGTCCGTGGAAAAACCTCTCTCCACAGAACTGGTCCCTGGTGCCCAAAAAGTTGGGGACTTCTGCAATATAGTCCCTCTATCCTATACTTGTGCCTTTAATTTGCATTTATCCTTGTTGAAATTCATTTTATTGGTTCTCCCCATTTTTCCTGCCTGTCAAAATTCTTGTGACTCTTGGTATTTTTCCATAAGGTATCCCTTCTATATTTAAATATTTATTAATTTATTTGTATCTCGCTTTTATTTTTTTACAAATAACTTAAGGCAGTAAACATATCCAACACATCTTCTTCCCCCTATTTTCCCCACAACTACCCTGTGAGGTGAGTTGGGCAGAGAGACAGGAACTGGTCACTCAGCTGGTTTTCATGGCTAAGGGGGGACTTGAACTCATGGTCTCCTGTTTTCTAATCTGGTGCCTTCACCACTAGACCAAACTGGCTCTCAAATATATTGAACAGAATTGAGTCCTGCAGTTCACCACGTTGACATTACTTTTCAAATGATGGGAAACCACAAGTATACAGTTGTTGAGTACAATTATTCAACCAGTTCTGTAATCTACTAATGGCAACATAGTCTAGCCCTCATTTTTCCATCTTCTCTACTAAAATTTCATGGGAGACTTTGTTGAATGTTTGCTGAACTCAAGATGCATTACTACAGCATATCCCCATGACCAACTAAATGGTTAGTAAAAAAAAAAAAAAAAGATCAGGTTGCTGAACCTCATAATTCTTGATAGGCTTCTGCTAGCTTTCCAAGCACTGCATTCTTTCCTAAATGCTCACAAAATGCTTAATAATCTATTCCAGAATTTTTCCAGTTTCAATATCAGGATGACTAATCTAATTCCTCAGGTCCTCCTTTTTTCTTTTCTGAAGATATCAGCATTTGCCAGCCTCCAATTCTCTAACAAAGTGCCTGTCCTGCTCCATATTTCTATTTTAACACAACAGAATAACATTGAGACAGCCTCTTTTTCTTCAGATCGAGGAGGCCCACTGCCAGGAAAAAATGGTAGAATAATCAAAAATCTTTTTACTGCTTTCAACTTCCCTTGTGAGCTGAAGTTAACTTTTGCAATTTAAACTTGATTTCTTTCAGCAAATATTAACTACTTGCTAATACTTCTTGGAAATTACAACCCACTTTCTGTTTTCTATATATTTTATCTTCAACATTTAGCTTAGTCAAAATTACCCAATGTACCCACAACAGTTTTCTAAGCTGCCCATTTCCCCCCCTCATTGGAATGATGTATTATTGTATTTCCAGTGCTCCTCTTCCTGTACTTCCTTTGACCTAAGGATTCCTGTCAATGCAATCAGAGTCAGCATTTCTCTCAACTTGTTGAAATTAACTTTTAGTGTACTGTTATGTCCTGGGCTGTGATTGACACAGCGGGTGCAGGAAGCTGCAGAGAGACCCGGGCAGACCATGTGACTGCCCGGGCCAGACAGGCTGTCTCCAGCCTATTGCGCATGCGCAAGGCGGGAAAGATACATTGCATTGATTGGTTGATGCTACTCCCTGCAAGGGGGTATAAAAGGGATCCGCATCATTTTGTGTTGTTCTGTTGGAAATTAAATAAAGAAGCAACTGTTGTTACTCCTGCCTCGTCTCAATGCCTTACCAATGCACAGAACAGAACATTGGCGATGAGGATGGGATCATGCTGCAAGAAAACAATGAAAAGAAAATAGGGTGACTCACCACAGAAGGCCCAAAGTGCTTGGAAGTTCGGCGTTCCGATTCGTGTGACTCTGCCTGCCGGTACGAAGACGCTGGAGGAGAGCTCGGCGAGATTCATCCTGGAACCCATTCGCAAGCCGGAGCAGCACGAGGCGTTGATGAGGCCGCTAAGAAGTAAGGATGTCAAAGATAGGGCATTTGTCCGAATTCAATTCAGCTCACCCTGAACATTGGAGTTCATACGTAGCCAGAGTAGAAAGCTACTTCCGAGTAAACCAAGTTCGGGAAGACGGGCTCAAAGCCGCAATGTTACTGTGTGTCTGTGGGCAAGAGACATTTGATATTGCCAAGAATCTGGTTGCCCCAGCACCTCTGGAATCCATCACTTACACTGAGCTGAAGAAAATGTTAAGGGAACATTTCGAACCGAAGCTATCGGTGATTGCTTGGCGTCTCGCATTCGAACAGCGGGACCAAAGACCAGGAGAGTCTGCTGCGGACTTTATTGCTGCACTGCGACACGCTGCTAGGCCTTGTGAGTTCAAAGACTTGGAGGAAAGACTTTGAGATCGTCTAGTTTGTGGTTTGAGGAGCCATGAGTTGCAACAAAAGATTTTTGCAAAGTAAGACGTTTCCTTCCAGGATGCACTAAAGGAAATCATGGCCGATGAAGCAGCGGGAGGAGCTGTTAGGGCCTTGTCGCTTTCCAAGCATCCTACGAGTTCAGGCTCCGTCCATCAAGAGGTTGCTCGAGAGGTAGCTGATCCTGATTCCGAAAACGAGGTCGACTGCCTACAGAAGCCAGCGGAGAGGAGGCCCCATGAGCGAGCTGACAAGCGAGCTAACAAGGCCGTTCAATTCCCTTGGTGTTTCGGATGTGGAGGCCGCCACAAGCGCTCCGATTGCCGTTTCCGCTCTGCCATTTGCCGGGCATGTGGCAGGCAAGGCCACATAGCCGCCATCTGTTTGGGTCGCACGAAAGACCATCCTTCGGAAGAATTGCCTCGGAAAGGTATCAGGGTCCCCAGCCAGAATAGGGTGGGTTTCTGCGTGACCTGCAGGAGCATTTTGAAGACGGGGGCCCACAGGCCATTAAAGAAAAAGCTTCGCATTGATGTCAAATTGCAGGGGGTCCCCTTAACGATGGAGCTGGACACAGGTTCAGCTCTATCAATCATATCCCAGGATACCCTTAAGTAAATCTGCTACAGAAGTGACCAGTGAGTTAAACTTAGGCCATCAAATCTGGTCTTAACAGACTTTCAGAATTCCCGAGTCAGGGTAAAAGGAGAGGCCACGTTCAAGGTGCAGCATAGGAAATTTGAAAGGTTCCTGGACATTGTTGTGGTAGAGGGTGACCACACGAGTCTAATTGGACTCGATTGGTTCGAGGCACTTGGGATTCAAGTGACTGGGCTACACAGCTTGCAAACGACAGGCCTTGCAGAAGTTTGCAAGGAGTTTGCTGATGTGTTTAGCCCAGAACTGGGGTCGTACAAGGGGCCTCCAATTGCTTTGCATTTAGACCCATCCATTGCCCCGATTAGGGTTAAGCCTCGTCGGGTGCCTTTTGTGCTGAAGCAAAAGATTAATGCCGAGCTGGACAAACTGCTCCAGCAAGGTATTTTGGAACCTGTGGATAGCAGTCCATGGGAAACACCAATAGTTATGCCACTGAAGGCCAATGGGGAAGTCCGCATTTGTGCTGACTATAAATGCACGTTAAACAAAGCATTACAGCAGCACTCTTATCCGGTGCCTGTGGTGAGCCACATCCGGTGCCTGTGGTGAGCCACATTTTGGCTCAGGCTATCAACAGCTACCAGTTAATGAGGCAACGGCTGAGGCCCAGACGATCATAATGCACTGGGGAGCTTTCAAAGTCAAAAGACTACAGTTTGGGGTTAACGTAGCCCCTGACATTTTCCAAAGC